AATATAATCCCTTCCTTCCTTCCTTCCTTCCTTGAACAAATGTTATACTTTTCAAATGTTATACTCTACTTTTTTAAACCACTTTAAATATCTGTTCAGATAGTATTTAAGCAAACAGCATCTGAGACTTTTAATGTGCGTGCTGAGGTAAAAAACGGACATTGAGTATTTTTTTTTTCTTTCTGAAAATGGGTCACGATTGGCTCAGCTTAAGTTTAGAGTTCTTGTTAAATAAACATTCTGATGTTTAATCCCCCAAGAGGATGTTAAATTGATAAGGCGTGTGATTAAAACTCCAGATTTGTTCATAGCCTTAACCCCCAGAGGTATGTGAAGTTGAATCTATGTTGCCGTCTAAATGAGTGAAGGTGGGCTAAATGAATAAAAAAAAAAGATGAATTGTTTGTTGTTTATGTGTATTTATTTATCTCTTGTCTCAGGGTTTTTGTCTTCATTTAAAACTGTTACTTGCCTCACCTACTGGTAACAAACCTCCCAGTTCCAAACACTAATGGGCTCATAGGGGGACCCATAGCCTTCCGTGAGAGTTGTTTTTCAGCTTCATCAGCTTGACCTTCTTATTTAGTTGATTGTCATTTACTGCCTTTGCATTAACTCGTGGTAGGCAAGAAGTGACTGTAGTGACTGAGCGACGGAGACGGATGACTGGTTGGGTTCATGAACCCATAAAACTCACATGGGAGAAAGGCAGCGGACCATATCTCATTACCGGCTCAGGCCTGAAATGAGATAGGTCCCTTTTTTGCCTGTCCCTCACTGCTTCCATTGATTAGTCAGCAGCCAATCAATGTTAATTAAGGTGTAGGGAATCCTTTAATTGTGGCATATGAATCATGATGTCAGACCCTGCCTTGACCTTCACAGGACTTAGACTGTGAACAGTCTAAATACTGTTTGTATATTGTAGGATAATAGGGATTGTAAATGAACATAGATTTTACGTGCTGCTATCCTGAATGTGCTGCAGTCTGTGATTGTTGACTTTTAATAGATCAAAGAAGCCACATGACCAGACTTTGCACGATTTTCTGCAGAAGCTTTTTAATAATTTAGAAAATCGTTGAAAAGCAGATGTATTCCTGCCATATTACTTTAAAAAGAAACTCAAATAAATCAAACAATTAACAGTGCTTAGTAATATTTGTGAAGTTTTTACTTAATGCCTTAGAGTTGGTTTTAGTTCCTTTTAAACTTTGAATATACAAAAAATAAGACCATCCATCCACTCATTTTCCAACACGCTTAATCCCTATTGGGTTCTCGAGGGGTGCTGGTGCCTGTCTCCAGCTCTTAATGGACGAGATGCGGGTTACACCCTGGACAGGTTGCCAGTCCATCACAGGGCAAAAGAGAGACAAACAACCATTCACACACTCACACCTAAGGGGACTTTAGAGAAGCCAATTAACCTAACAGTCATGTTTTTGGACTGTGGGAGGAATCCGGAGTACCCAGAGAGAACCCACGCATGCTCAGGGAGAACATGCAAACTACATGCAGAAAGACTCTAGGCCAGGAATCGAACCCAGAAACGTCTTGCTGCAAGGCAGCAGTGTTACCCACTGTTCCACTGAGCTGCCCCAAAAATAAGACCAAACTAAGTTTACAGTGCTATACACACACACACACACCAATACACATATATACACATACACACACAAGCGTACAGTTGAAGGAAGTGCAGAAATAACAGCAATTGGTTAACTTTCAAATTCAATACACTACAGTGGATTAAAGACACAAAGGCTATGGTACACTGAGTTACATATTCAAGCATATTATTTAAATGTTTAGGGAAGAAAAAAGGACTCAAAGGCATGAAACAGAGAAAACTCTCCCTGTCCATCGATTCATCAGGTCAGGTGCCAAGGGTCTAGCAGGAAATTCCTCTAACTCATTCATACGAAGACCAGACTGGATGTATATTCCCTTCAGCAAGTTCTGGGTCCTGTAGACAACCTGCAAAGAGAGGTGCTCAGGAGACATTAAGATTAGATGTCTGAACCATCTGACTCCCTTTAAAGTGAAGTCCAGTCCCCCATTGGAGGAGGCCTATTTTTTGAATGTTTTATCTGGGATTTTCTCTGTCGATTCCCCATTCCATCAAACATTAGTTAAGGACACCAACACATTTAGAATCCCTCTCTCAAGGCACAGATTGAATCCACCAATAACGGCAACCTAGAAAAAAAAAATGTAAACCAAAGCCAATTTTATTCAGGAAAGGACTACAAATGTATTGATTATGTTAAGAAGCTTCTTGGCAGAACCAAGGTAAAAAATAAACAAGGCTGTTAATCACTGGTCTAATGAGTATTTTTTTCATATTACAAAAACATAGCAGGCACAATATCCAGGATGCTTGTGGTCCAGTGTGAAATTTTTAGTTATTCAGGGTATCATATCTTCTGCTGTTTATAGTGTTTTAAGTCCAAAGCCAGAAGTAGCCAGCTACTATTTTTTGTTGATTCTACAACGTGTCCCTCCACATTTGTCCTCCACTCAACTTCTAATATCTATGCTTAGAAATAACACTCTGATCTTTTAATTAGCCTATTGTACAGTAGGTCTGCTAGTTAGACAACTGTTAAGTCAACAATTTTCCACTTTTATTTGTGGGCTCTAACATTTCTTAATTTAATTCCTGCTTACTGTAGTTAGTGTCATGTAATATTGCATTTTTGTTACCTAAAGGCCATAATCATACGATTTGACAGAAAGAAATGCTTTAAATATATTCATATGTGTGTAAATATATGTTTTACTCTAATCACGAAATTAGACCATTGAGTATATTAATCATTGATATGTTTTTTTTTTATTATTATTCTTATTTTCCAAAGTGATGAAATAAATGCTGCTGCTGTTATACATGGAAGTCCTCTCTTTGCATATGAAGTGGAGCTTCTGATTGATGACTGCCAAATACAAAATGGCAAAAGAGAACACCACAGGCACCATAATTGTGTTCTTTAATGGAGACCCTCATTTCAGGCTGGAGATAATTTTGAAGTCAGTTGATTGTGTCTATACCCTTCCTCAGAAAATCACCCCTCAACCACCTCCCACTACCATAACAACCATCCATCATGTGGTAATAATACTCCAACCATTTTTTTTTTTTTTTTTTTTTTTTTTTTAAGATTAATTTCATCCTGTTTTATGTTTCAGAAAACAAATTCCTTTAAAAAAAAAGGCAAATTGAGCTAAATCCTACAGTTGTTTGTTTAAAGGAGAAGTTCGGTTTTTTACACTTTAAGCCCATTTTCTGTAGTGTCCAGGATGAAATCTAATGATCGACACCAAAAGTTTGACAATTGCTCCTGTCTCTGCTTTTTGGCTCATTTAGAATCACCCCCTGGCTGCTTTAGAATGGCTTGCATAGAGCATGTCCGATAATGTCCTTAAAACAACCTTAAACGTTCTTTTTTTAAAATATGCTACTCACCGGGTCGTCAGCGCTGTTCAATGATGTTCCAAAAAAAGTTTCGTAAAGAAAAAACGTTCCTGTAGTGTTTTATTTAGCATTTTGTAAATCCCATTGAGTTCTGTAGGAATAGTCAATATTCCCCTGCCACCGGAAACGGAAATGGGGCCTGTTTACACAGTTGTAGTCTTTTCGCTTCACTCTGTGTACTCCGACGTCGAGAATCAAGAATCCACCTTTAGTATTCCATTTTCAGAGTTTTTTAAAGTGTTTCACAGAGACGTTAGCACCTCGACGTCGGAGTACACAGAGTGAAGCGAAAAGACTACAACTGTGTAAACAGGCCCCATTTCCGTTTCCGGTGGCAGGGGAATATTGACTATTCCTACAGAACTCAATGGGATTTACAAAATGCTAAATAAAACACTACAGGAACGTTTTTTCTTTACGAAACTTTTTTTGGAACATCATTGAACAGCGCTGACGACCCGGTGAGTAGCATATTTTAAAAAAAGAATGTTTAAGGTTGTTTTAAGGACATTATCGGACATGCTCTATGCAAGCCATTCTAAAGCAGCCAGGGGTGGATTCTAAATGAGCCAAAAAGCAGAGACAGGAGCAATTGTCAAACTTTTGGTGTCGATCATTCGATTTCATCCTGGACACTACAGAAAATGGGCTTAAAGTGTAAAAAACCGAACTTCTCCTTTAAGCACAATGCCTGTATTTAAAAATCTAACATTGTTCTAGTTGTTTTTTAAAGGCTATTTCCAAACCTTACACCTTATTACTACACTTAATGAAATACTTCAGATGTTTGTTGCTACTTAAAATAAAAACAGTTTAGTTATTGTGTTATCTCTCCTGTTCAACGTACCCTGGGCAAAAAATTACATTAAAAGCTTAAAATAAAACCTACCAACTAGTGCATCCAAACACTCCTTCCTGACTGTATTATACAGTTTAAAGACACAAACATCTCATCTATGTTTGTATTATTTTTTTTAATTATCATTGTCAGTAGTAGTTGTTGTAGTAGTGTCACTGTTTTTATTCTACTTCCTAAAATAATATATAGTTTGTACAAAGGTGCAGGGTTATGAAATTTGAACTTTGCACATTAAAAATGCATGTTTTTTCTAAGCTTTTACTTTGCAAGAACTTAAGTTTACCATTTTCTCACACCAACTCAATAAGAGTTCAGATTCTTCTGTCTAAAACAAATAGCTCTGTAAGTCTGGGTTTATTGTGTTTTGACATTTTGACAAAGTGTTTTTCTTAATTTTTAAATCTAACATCTTTCTAATCAGACAGATGCACAGTAATTGCAGGAGGGGATCAATCATCTGGTTTGTCTTTTAAATCCCAGTATTTTAGTTAAAGTTAGTGTTGTTAGACAAATCCTTACGATTTAGAGCATGCAATGGGCTCTCAGGAACTATATCATAGAAAGGGCAATTTTACTATTTGGGATTTTCACTATCATCTAATTGTGCGGCTCATTACTGTTGGTTTTACTTTTTAATAATTACATTTTCTGTGATTTCTGCAGGTGTAACAACAGGACACAGTGTGCTGTGGTGGCCGGACCAGATGTCTTTCCAGACCCATGCCCAGGAACATACAAATACCTGGAAGTCCAATACGAATGCGTGCCCTATAGTATGTATTTCCCACAATTTCCTAATGTTCTCTTTCATACTGATGCCTTTGTAGCAACAATGACTCATCAGCAACTTTATCATTCCTCTGTCGCTACGTCTTAATTGTGCGATGCAGGGTGGTAAAACAGATTAGGACCCAGCAGTGAGCATAATGCAAAGATTTCTGTGATGGTGTTTTGGAGTGAAAAAGAAAGTATACAATTTATCAAGCAGAGGAATGTGAGCAGCAGGGGATGTCATCAAATTATTTGACGTAAGTGGGAGGGAAGGCTTTCAGTATTGTTTTTTATCTTTATTAAATTTCGACGTCTGCAACCCTGGACTTCACCTTGTAAATATCTTTGATCTGATAACGTTACAACATAGCAGATTTTGAAAAAGAAATGTACTTTACTTGTAACAGTTCATTTAAACATGAAACAAATTTACAACACATCAAGACTGCACACGTAAGAAAAGAACTGCTGGTTTTCTGTTCAGCACTTGAAACATGCAACTGTTTGGACCAATAAGGCATTTCTAAAAGGTGCTGGGATCAACAAGAGGTTGTGTCATTAAAAGAAAAAGAGCTGCAACAAAGTGCAGTGGAAATATTTAGTAATGGGTGGGACGGGTAAGAATAGGGCCACAGGATGAGCACATGAATAGGAAATCTACATGAGGTCAGAGGAAATGGAATGGACTTTGCTATATGACCCTAGGTATTGTTTTAGGATGACTTTTCAGCAGATCATCAAAGTCGGTCACATTGCCTGCCAAGATCCTGATGTGCTGTCAGGGCTGATATGGAGAGAAAAAAAAAATGTTTGAAAATATCTACTGTGGGCTTTCAGCTACACGGTCTGCTGCAGCCTCAAGATTGAAGAGAATTGGAGTAATTCAAATTCAAATCAAAACCATCTTCCCAATATTTTAGGTCTTTACAAGCTTCCCTTAGAAGTGTGACTGACAGCAGCTTTCATCTTTTGATGTAAGAGCCCTTTTTTACCAGTGATCTAAAGCCTGCAAGCACCACTTTTATATCCGATTCCCTCATATTAGCACATTCTGTCATTCCAGCCACCCAGTGTCTTTTTCCACATTACGATGTGAAACACTGACCCAGCTGAAGCCGCTTCAGTGGTCAGACCCACACTTCATTGGAACTGTGGTCAACAACAACTCTCATCCAACTTATTTTTCCATAATATCCTGTCCTTTATATCCTGTAGTGGATCCTGTTGGAATGAACTTGAACTTTTGTTTAATTTACCAATAATTGCAATTTTTTCCATTTTTCATTGGTGGAGCTGGACAGCTTGACTCCAGTGTCCTCTTGTTTGTTTTTCTTTTTTTTCTTTTTTTTGTCTGCATCGTAGTATTTGCTAGTAGAAGCCATATACATAAAATTACATATAATCAAATCACCTCCAAGATCAGCAGACAATCAAGATTTTGTGGCCAATTTAGTTTGTTTAGTAAAGCTTTGATGTGCTGATACAGATTTAAGCTTAAATCAACTTCTTCTTAATCAAGTTCCCACCAACGGCTCGAAAATAATCTGGCACTGTTGTCTGGTCTGAAGGCTGGGCAAATAGAGACTAATGCAGGGGGAACTGGGCGGAGCTGAGAAGATGTGTGAAAAGAGTAATCAGACCAGACATCAGTGCCAAGATCCTGAAGCTGTTAGGTTTCTGAATAAAAAAAAAAAACAATAAATAGAATAAAGTATGGGAAACTCTTATAATCCTTCATAAACAGAGATGCAAATTTATAATTTAAAGACATACTCTGTCTTAGAACCATCGTTAAAGACAAGTTATGTCATTCTAACATTTTGTCAGACTACTTGTTACCTAGTGTGAATTATGTAGACGGTAACATGATCGGTGGCACTGTGCTTAAACAGGTGGCTATGGTTGAGTGTTAAACTTGGCTCCAGGAAAAGCATCAAATAATTGTTACTTTAGTGTATGTAAAACTGTAGTAAAGGAAATTTTGTTTAAAAAAAATAAAATAAAAGTTGTTTAAGTCTAATCAAAGTCATCACATTTAGTAGGGATTACTCAGTGTCATGACTTTTTTATTATCTTGTTACAAATGCTTTACACGATGCCCTCCCCTTTTCTTCACATCCTCATCCTCCATAGTTTTGGTTGAGAATTTGATGCTGCTTTTCTATGCAACATGCCTGAATGGGCTTTATTTAGCCGATAGCTTAAGGAGATATTTACTCACAAAAACTCCTGCACTGGATTGGCTTTCTATCATTTCATAATTCTGTTCTGGCATATATTTTTATCTTACACCAACCTTAATGTCTCTGCTTAAGGTTGAACATTGGTGCCCTCTTATAGAAGGCAAGCACAGTGCAACACTACTGCATGTGATTATACCGACTAGGTCGGTATAAGCAGATGTAAACTATTTTTAACCTATATGTAATTTAAAAGTTGTTTGCATTCCAGAGGATTACTTGATTAGGAGATAGCCAAGTTAAAATAATGATGTAGAAGCTCATAATTATGGCTTAGCAGTCTCAATATTATGAGATACTATATATATTTCGAGATAATATCTCATAATAATGGTATACAACGTCATCATTTTGAAGTCATAATAATGAGATAGCTAAGTCAAAATAATGATAAAGTATCTCATTATCAGATAATTAAGCTACATTATGAGATACAGTTTTTTTTTGACTTAAAAAAAACAGCTTGTTTGCATAGAATTTACTGATTTTGATATCACCTTAAAACCCATAACAGAGGGCAATTTGTAGATCTTTTTAATGATGTAATTGGAAGAAATCCATCTCTGTCTATAGGGAGAAACCAGATTGTTTTTTGTCTGGAGTGAACATCTAAATGTATTCTTTTTACCAGAAATGTATCTTGGTAGCTTAAAATAGTGAAACAATAAATGATTGCACCTACATAGATGTAAATCAGTTCTTTTGAAAAATAATAGATGTCTCAAGCCAGAGATGGGTAATCCAAGGATCAATACAGTTATTTAAAGCACAGTTTTTCATATTAAATACCTTTGCTTCCAGCCTTTCACTTATTAATGATCTAGTTCTAAAGGTACCAGGTATAATACACATCCCTCTGTAGAATGACTCCCTTCTGGTTATTCTGAGGAACTTAAGATCATCCTATGCTTTTTATAAACTCCCTTCAGAGAATTCTGGGTCTACCCACCCTACTTTAACTGAGAAATGCAATGATATCTTAATTTGTGGTCCAAACCACACATATTTTGAAGTAAGAGAAGTTTGTATTGTATTTTCTTCTTTTTTTTGTCTATTATCCATATCTCATGGAAAACAAGAGAAGAAAAGAAGTTGATTCATGCATGGACCTATGATTAGAAACATTTGCTTTTTTCACCCTTGCTGACCGAAACACCATCAGCATTATTCCGTACAGGGTCCCCCCGCATTTCCTGCCTCATTTAGCCATCACTCATGAACTAAATTAAACTTTTCACCATGAGGTATAATATAAATAAGAGGGAACACCTTGTTCCGGGGAAGAGACATTAGCCGCTGTGGATTCTGGGTTGGAGGTACCCATACAGCAATAGGAGTGTCAATGCTTTTTTGACATTTTAATGGTACACAAAACAAATTCAAATGGGCCAACTTTATAACATTACTCCTAGGCTAGAAAGCAGAGAGGCCAACATAAGCTGAACTTGTTCTTTTTTAATATTTTATGCTCTTATTGTTAGGTTTCTAATGACTCTAAAATATAGGTACAGTAGTTGTCAAAAAACTAAATAAGTAGAAATATAACAAACATGTAGAACATCTTAGGTTATAAAATACACTTCAATTTTCAGAAACTTGGGTTTATAACTTCCAGATAATAGAGAAAGAAAAGCATTTGGTTAGTTAGAATTTCTTTCAATACATTTTTCCTGTTTTTCCTACTTAGGCCAGCAAAGGAAAACTATTAAAGGAAATTCCATACCTGTCCAGACGGTGCAAAAACCGCTTTTCATCTACAAGATCCTGGTCTTTATCCTGATACATCTACTTCTTACATGTTTCCCTGTACTTCATTTAAATTCCTTCCTTTATCTGCACCTTATCTCCCTCACACCTTCCTCCAGGATCTTCAATCTCTGTTCTGCAGGTCTGTGGTCTCTCTCACTCTGTTCCATTCGATCACCTTCACTTGCAGTTCTTGTATTTGTATTCAGCTTAGTACCTTCTTCTTCTGGGATAAATTACAGCTCTCATCTCTTCCCCGATATCTTCATAAAGTGTCATGATTGCAGACTCAGATGTGCCTTTAATAATGGAAGAGGGTGGAGTGTGCTAAATCGATGGACATATACCGTAGATACAATATTGATTTCATTAATTTGCTATTTGATACGCTCCATCAGATGTAATGGAGGGGGAAAAAAAGAAGTTATAACAATTACTGCTTAGAGCGGCAGTGTCTGCATGTGGCAGTGTCACAAGCCGAGGTAACCAATCATACTTCCATTTTAGCTGCTGTCTGAATAATTGTTTGAACTTAGATCTAAATCTCATGATAGAAGATAAAAACATGGTGAACAATCAAGGAGGGGAGACAGTGGTATTACATGGGGAAAATTTGTGACATAACAAATCGATTAATCGATTATTGAAATAATTATTAACTGATTAATTAATCTATTAATTGTTAACTGGATTATAGAGAATGTAAAACATGCCTTTAGCAGACAAAGCAACCACTTAAAGCAGTAATTATACCAAAATTGTAAAAATATATAAACATTATGCTTTCAGATAAAATAAATATGTCTTTGTTTATAAATGGTAAAAGGCCTATACTTATTTGGCACTATAGAACTTGATCAAAGTGCTTTACATGATGTTCAGTCATTCACCTATTCACGCACACACTAACACACTGATTTGTAAATATCCTTAGGATAATTATCATTGATGATGTGTGAGTTTATTACGCCCTAATAGTAGCAAGATAATAATCACAACCTGATTTTGGAACGGCT